ATAGTGTTCTTTATAAAAGGAGATTGTAAAACCTAAAAGTATGAAGAAAAAGCTTTCTTTCTAAGATCTAGCAATCACGGGGAGAGGACAGAACAACAACAACACAAAACACCCTACAACTTCATGCCTATTCAATAATATGCATTCTACTTCTACAGCTCCCAGTGACTTAGAAAACTCCAGGAAGCTAAAAAATCTGGATTCTCCATCTTACAAAACATTGGAAAATGTTTTGAATGTCAAAGAATACAGATTCTGACCAACATTTGGTTTTTCATCTGTATTGGCAAAGGATCTTGACACCCAGATAGAGACATCATCTTCCTGACCACCCGTCAGGATGGGTGAGAGTGGATTTAATTTGCACTGAAAGAAGGGAGTAGCTGGGGACAGCATCCAGCTGTATTCAGCTTTAATGAACAAAAAGTGTCTGCACAAACATTGCTTGCAAAACATTTTGTTTCCGAGGGCAAGTATACCTGTCCTTACATTGTTTCAGTTTGACAGAAGAAAGAATATGCCTTGTCATCGTTCCACTGCATGCAGCCACAATCAAAAATTACTTCTGAGGCAGTTAATAACAACTTTGAGAGTATCAGCAGAATCGTGTAAAACACCACTTACATTTGGCAAGTTTAAATGGTTTTGAAATAACAGGTGAATAATACATTCGGATTTGCCTCCGTGGGCAGCCAGAGCAGAGAAAATTACTGCAAGACAAATTTTTTGACAAAAACTCAAGATAAACAACTCAGCTCCTCTTTGTCAAGAGTAACAGAGTGGGCGTATAAATAAAATGCAGTAGGCAGAATGTCTCTGGAGTTTAACAAGGCCCCTAGCACAGTACCACACAGAAAACTCATTAACACACCAGAGAATCACAGCACCGATCAATTCAGATGAAGAACAGAGATTGTAAGTGAAGAGATTGCAAGTGAAGAGATAAGTGTCATGCTAAACCTGACTGGATGGAATATCAAGAAGGGACTGGTTAGATCCCACATTAATCAACTACCAGCAATCCAGGGCAAAGCTGGGGCCGCTCCTCCCCTGCCTGGGAAATTACATTGCGGCAGCAAGCTGCTGCCTCTGATAGTACAAAATGTAGAGAGGATAGTTATTAAAATCCAGCTTTGCAAAGTTCACCAGTCCACCTGACATGACTGAAACTCTAGAAGACTCCAATCCACCTCATGTTTAACCTTGCATCGTTTAACATGCTCTGCAGGAGGCCTCGTTCCCCCCAAAATGTCATGTACCATTCCGTATTTATACTCCTCTGCTATCTTTTCTCCTTAAAATCATTCTCTTACAGAACCTTTGCAGGGTGAAATGCCATTTAAAAGACTCTTCAATCAACATGAATTTTCTGGAAGTCACATTTATTAAGAACTGCACTGGAAATGACAACTCAATCAACCAGGCTTGTAGCGAAGGACCGAAGTAGTTGTCACAGCCAGCCAAAGTCACACAGAGGCAGACATGTAATGAATAGTGTTTTGTCAAACGGGTTATTCTCAACTGTGTGGACACTGCCAGCAATCAGTGTCCTTTATTTGTTTCTCTTTGCTAGATTTCTCTGGACTCTTCCTTGAATCTGTCAAATGTAACTGAAATACCTCACGTACCTGTTTTATCAAGTACCACGTAAAAAATATCCAGGACATTCTCATGCAGACAGGAATGTCACGGATTACTCCATACGAGCTCACATGCCAGTGTTTTTTCAGATGGGAGAGCAGTTTAATTAAGCATCTGCCACTAAAGGCTTATGCAGGCACTCACAGCATTACCAAATTGCTGGGCTGGTCAATGTTCCTCCCTTGGGAGCCTCTTTCCAGCCCAACTTGCACGACCAAGGCCCACAGGGCACATGCCACTTACCCAAGAAAGCCAGCAGCTGATGGAGCTCCAGGAGAGCACACATGATGGTAGCACCAGTCCTGCTGTCCCACAGCAAAGCTGAGCCAGGACCCACAGCAATGCAGCCTGTCCAAAGCCCGTGGCAGCAAAACTTCCCTGCCAGCCCCTCTGCCAGCAGCCGCTCAAAGCATTCCCATGCACGGATGGCTGACATGAGAGCTTGCTCTGGCCATACTTGCCACAGCTGCCATACAGACTGGTAGGTCTTTGTATTGGGTTTATGTGGCAAGGGTTTGGTAGCTGAGAGCTTCAGGAGTGGCCTCTGTGAGCAGAGCCCAGCAGCTGCCCCACGTTAAATAATGGCCAGTTTCAGCCTGCTCCAATGGGACCCACTGCTGGCCAAAGCCGAGCCAATAAGTGATGCTGTTTGCAAGTTTTGCAAGATGTAGAACTTAGTAACATAGTTTAGTGGTGGACTTATCAGTACTAGGTTGAAGGTCGGACTAGATGGTCTTAGAAGTCTTTGTCAACCTGAATGATTCTAAGTGTAAATACTACTCCAAAAACACAGGAGAGCCATGGGCCACCATGTGCTAGGTGAAAGATTATAAACACTGTTCCACAAAATATGATTTTTTCTATACAATTATAGTGTATGTCTGCTCTTGAATAAACAGAGAACTCTAACTGAACTCAGTTGGATTTGAAGGTGCAGAATGATGCCAAAAATATTCAAGTACTATTTTTTAAAGGCATTTTTATCTCTAAATGAGATAAATGTGACAAATAAGATAATTTATCTCTCTCTTTTTTTTTTTTTTTTTTCAGAACTGTAACATCTCTGGGCTGTAGTTTCTGTTGAATGGAGATATATTTTGAAGGCTTCTTGACTGTGACCACAAACATTCTTAGTCACTAATTCAGATTTGTTTCTTTAGTTATCCTCTAATTAACTTGCTTTCTTCATAGATAAAGTTTAATTCTCTCACAGGTAAGCCAAATTCTCTTTTTCCAAATTCTTTCTTTTATGTACTTTCTATTAACACTGTTGTTCAAAAAAGTAAAGGCAAATCAATGAAACACCAGACACTAGACAACTATTATATCAACCAGCTATTTCGTATTTCCAGTCTTTTGAATACTGTTAAATACTTCCTTACAATGACCCTCAGATATCTTTCTCTGTGTAACATTCATGCAGATTGCAGACAAAATTCTATCACTGCACATAAAATACCGCCCACTTTGCTTCCTACAGCCCCATTCTTACTTGTTAGTAGCAACTCAGCAAATTGTAAAATAACAGCAGCCCTGCATCTCTGCTCCTTCCTTGAGGAACATGCTCCCCCTAGCACTTGCATAAATGTTATCCCAATCAATAACCTAGCAATTAAAGTCACCAGCATTTTGGTCCTTTTACAAGGAGGGGAAAACAAACAAACAAATAAATTAAAAAAATCTTGCTTTACTTTTCCAAACTGCCTTGGAAACAGAACAGGAGTCACTCAGCCACCCCTTAGTCCTTAACCCCTGAGTTAGCTCCTGCTTTGACATCAGTGAAAATCATTTTGTGTCTGTCTGCAGATGTAGCAGCATTTTCTTTCTGAGCACTGCTTATAACATTCCCATTCTACCAGTTTATCAATAAGCCATAAATTTTGGTTGTGTTAATACCAGCAGTAGCTTTGTCTCAGGGTTCTGAAACTGCTGGGGATTTTTTGTTGAGGGATTTCTGCTTTGTTTTGTTTTACTTTCAGTAATAAAAAAAAATCAAAAAGAAGAAGAAACAAAAATGGTAAGGACAGGAAAACACTGGTAAGCAAATGTCTGAGTCTGACAAACAATCAATTATCTACACAGCTCAGCGACTAGAACATATCAAGGGTGAAATCCTGCCTCCATTAAAATCAATGGGAGTTTTGTCATTGACTTGAACGGAGCTGGAATTTCACTCTAGAAATATTGTATGTGACTAAACTGGAGAAACTCACATGGAAGGCAATGCAGGCTTACACAGGAACATATTTTCTGAGGAAAGTAAAAATGGTGCTTGTAAGTACTGAAATTCAACTTCAGAATATTCTAGATCATTTACTTTGCAAAAGTCTATGATAGAAATTTTAGTCCTATGGTGGTGTGATATAATATTCACGTACTCAAAGGAAAACTGCCACTTTTTGATTTTGAGCACAGCTTTGCCCAGCACCTGATGGTGAAGGGCTTCATCCTGCTCTGCACCCCAAAGGAATTCCTTCAGATCGATGGCATTGCTTGTGTGTTTTAGCCTGCAACCTCTGCCCACAAGGAAGGTACAACAAATGTGACCTGGCCCTGTGGCATCCCAGTACATACACGTGGTCTCCCAATGCTGGGACAGTGGCTGTATTTTGAGAGGGCATGACTCCCCGCCAAGTATGTCACAGCAGCTGTCCAGCCTAAGTGTAAGACACATGACTGAAGAGGTACAACTCTGCTAATCCACCCCCGATTTGGGAGGAAGGATTCGTATTTAGACACCACCACCACAAATAAGCTTTGTGGACTGTGTTAAACCGTGTGGTGAGGATGCTTAATCAGGCAGAGATTATACATTCGAAAAAACCTGCACCATGACCTTTCCCGAGTTTCTGAGCACAGACAGCCTGTCCAAGTTGTGTGGAAAAAGAGAGGTGTAATAAACCAGTGCTGACAATGACCTTTTAATAAGTAAATGGTTGAGGTAGGCGTGCATTTTGAACAGAGCAAGAAATTGGATTTGTATGTATGCCTGGGTGCTTGCTGGGGAAGGTGATGAGATCCACCCTGCTGCTTATATTATTATTATTATTATTATTATTATTACTACTACTACTATTATTACTACTATCTGACTGCAAGTGCTGGAGCAGTGCCCTGAGGGCAGACCCAGAGCCAAATGCTCACAGTCCTGTCAGGGTCAGAGCCGGCTGCATCCCAGTGGCCAGGTCCCAGTGGTGGGGTCCTGGTGCCGGTCCGGGTGAGACCAGGGTCTCCCTTTCCCCAGGGCAGGACAGAGGCACGGGTTCCCTCCTTGGGAGCCGAGCCGAGGCCCCCGGCAGCAACAGGTGCAGCGGCCCCCGGCTGAGGGCTGCGGCGAGCAGGGAGCGCGCATAAAAGTCATGGTGCAGCAGGGCAGGGGGAGGCTCCATGAAGGCCGACAGGGGGGGCAGCGGCGGTGGGCTCCGGGCAGCCCCCTGCAGCAGGGCAGCAGGCAGAGGAGGCGTCGGAGGGTGGCTGCGGGTGGCGGAGGGCGGCAGCGGGCGGCAGCCAACGCCCGGGAGCGGGACCGCACGCAGAGCGTCAACACGGCCTTCAGCGCCCTGCGCACCCTCATCCCCACCCAGCCGGCCGACCGCAAGCTGTCCAAGGTGGAGACGCTGCGCCTGGCCTCCAGCTACATCTCGCACCTGGCCAACGTGCTGCTGCTGCAGCAGGCACGGGATGAGGGGACCCCCACCACGACACCCTGCCTGCAGCACCCCGCCGCCGCCTCGCCGCGGCCCATCTGCACCTTCTGCCTCAGCGAGCAGCGCAAGCGGGTGAAGGGAGGTGGGAGAGGGGAGGGAATGGGCGGTGAGGAGCCAGAAGGGAGCCGTTCTCCGCTGCTCCAGCATGGGGGTCACCTCATGGCTTCATCCAGCCCTGAGCCCTGCTCCTCTCCCTCCAGCAGCGCCGGGGAGCAGAGAAGCCGCTGGTGCCCAGGGAGCTCCGCCGCTGCGAGGTGACGGCGCCCTGAGAGCATCGCATCCGAAGGCTGGGTGCTGTGGTCGTGCCAGGTCTGCTCGGGGCGTCTCGTGGATGAAACCGAACCCTGCGCAGACAGCTGCACCTGGTGCAGCAGCTGTTTTAGCTCCAGGACTGCTAAACCTGAGCGGCCGAGGCCTGACCCTGTGGCCTCCCGACCCTGCACCACATGATGGAACTTGAGCTTCACAAGGCATCATCGGCTCTTCCCCAGGGGAGATGAAGATGTGGAAAAGCTGCTGGGCCCAGGTCTGGGCCATGGCCACATGGTGATGCCACCCGCTGCCCGCCGTGTTCAGGATGTGCATGCAGTGCTGTGAGGGCATTTTGGTGAGCACGGTGCTGTGAGGGTGCTTTGGTGTGCATGGTTCTGCAAGGGTGTTTCGATGCGTGCAGGAAGCCAGTAGGCACTGGCACTGCAGCACTTCGCCAAGGGACGTAGGCAGCAGAGGAAAGTGGGGATGTGCTGTGCAAAAGCTGCTTTTTTCTTCTTACAAGGATGAGTTGTGCCAGTCCTCTAAATAGCATGGGGTAGTCCTAGGTCTGTCGGCAAACAGGGCGTAGAGGGGATTTCCCCAGGGATCTCTAAATTTAGCCATCATCCAGGCCCTTCCCACGTTGTGCCTGTACATCACTGATGTCACTTACCTCCCTGGAGTTTGTTAACTTACATAGTTGTTTGGGGTTGTTTTTTTGGAAGTAAGTCTAAAGAGCAAACATTCATGTGATGGTTCCTGTTTTGGACATTAATGAGGCAGCAGGCTAGACTCTTAAACCCCAGTAATGGTGGATTTAAATATATATATATATAGCTACTTGAATTTTACTGTGCCTTTTGTGGTTATATACATGATACATATATTTAATTAGTCCTTAATAATCCTTAACTTTTTGCTTTATGAGGCACTCTGTGTTCTTTAAAAGCTTGCTAAGTACACTGCTGTGAGTAGTGCTGCGGAGTGCTTGCCTGGCTCTCCACCCCTGCTGCCATCTGTGCAGTTCCCTGGTCCAGCCTTGCCTCGGCCAAACACAAGGGCTGAAGAAGTGCTGCTGTGCTTGTCACCCTACCTGGTGTACAGTTTTCCTCCTCCTCCCCTAAATCAGCACTAAGTTATTATTATGCATTTATTAGGAAGAACTTTTACTTAGCAAGAATGACAGCTCAGTTTATTGCACATGGAACTTTACATTTTTGGTTTTCCATCTTGTCTTACCTTTATCACATTGAGAAAAAATGCATTGCACCTGCAATAACCTTCTCCTTTAACATCCTACTCAAGAAAAATACCGAAGCAAAGTTCCAGTGCTCCCGCATCCTACTCACTTATTGAAGGCTACATGCTGTATTTTCCTGGATTGAGAAAAGGGGCTTTGTTTGTTTTCAGGTTTCTGTCATTAGTTTTCTTTCAATAGGGAATTTTAAATTGCTGCCAGATTATGATCTTTGTTTTGTTTTGGCATTGATTCTTTAAACTAGAACTCTTCACCATTTATACAGAGTGCTTTCTCATTTTTGTATTGTGTCAGTGTGTGGGGGGTATGGATTTCTGCAAACGTGCCTTCCAAAGATGGCTTTTTTTATAGCTTTAAAAAAAGTTTGTCTTTTAAAAACTTATTCAGTTTATAATTGAAGCTGATCTTACAGTGATTTCTACACCCATTAAACCAAAGCATCTGAACTGGTTTACAGACAATTAGTACTAATATATTCATTTAGCTGTATCATTCAATATGATACACTGAAATGAAAGAAGTAATGCAGTTTCGATCAATTTGGGGTAATTTTTTTTATTGAATATGCTCTGAATTTTGAAGTGTTGTGACATCACTGCAGTTTTAAGAGTAGTTCTTGGCAAATGCAATGTATTTGGACTTAGTACACTGTCTCTATAATTAGCTATTAAAAGAAATGAGCATAAAAAAGTGGGGTCTACTTTTTTTACCATAGTATTTGCTGGAAGCTCATTACTTGAAACTCTCATGAATAATTTGCACAATTCTACAGGAACTTGGCTTTCTCACTGTAAATGGGATTTCATCTCCCTAGTTTTGTATAAGATTTATACAAAATGTTTTTCAATAACAAAAGCAGGAGCAGGCTGGTATGACTCGGCCATATCTCCTGCTTAATGCAGATCAGCGTAGCATTAAATTCTTCTATCTTTACTCAGGATAAACTGTTGAATTCAACTGAGCTTGAAGATTTCAGTATTATGCTCAGGGTTTCAATTACTAAATAATATTGGAATTTCAGTAACACTGATTGAGTGTGGCAGAAATTGGGCCCCAGAGCACTATGGCCCAAATATTCATGGTATAGACAGATAATATCTATCCAAAACAATTATGATTGTAATTTCTCTGAGGAGCAGACCCCAAGCCTGCATATATACAGATGTAACATTATGTATTTGAACATAAATGGGGACAGATCCTTACTTTTGCTGAAATTTATTTATAATTTAAAACTTCTCTGCCCCCAGGAGCAAGAGGAGATACAGGAGTGAGCTGTTATGTGTAATGGTTTTTCTATAAAGCTAGGGAAAAAGAATTTAATTTCTAGATTCTTAAATGAATTGAGCGCTCAGATTTCACCTCTAAAGAGTGCAAACACTAGCTCACTCATCATTAAATTTCATATTGAGTTTTTACTATATGAGTTTGTGTATCTTTTCAATTCTATTCTTTTAATCATTTGCTAGAGAGACATTGTGCACAGCATGCACAAATATGTATTTATAAGCCAAAATTTTGAAACTTGGGTGTCTATAAAGGAGTATTTTACCAAATGGTCAGGCACTGGAATGATAAGAACTATTCCAGAGGTGCTGAGCACCCTCTTGTTTTACTGAAGAGATTGTTTTTTCCATGTATTTGTAAGTGCATTCTGATCTATATGTATGAACAGAAGCATGCCTAATATCAATCCCATCTCTGTTTTCCTGTATACACTTGGCTGTTCAATTTATGTGATGCATGAGTAAAGCAGAAGCGGTGAGATATACATCATTTGATCTTAGATCCTATTAAAAGACTGTTAAAATATTCCAAGTATAGTGCTTTGTATAAATCCTTGTACTTAGCCAGCTGCATCACAATGTAACAGCAGCATCAAGCAAAACAAATAAATCATTTTGTTTGATTTTACTGGCTAAGTTTAAAGAAGTATTTGAACCTAATACTTGGTTACTTATGGATTAATCGTGATGTAAGTCAAAGTTATGTTTGCTACTGTTTTCAGTCTTGTTCAAAACTGAAGTTTCCTTTTTAATATCTTCTTGGAAAATCAGCTTCTTTACAAAACAAAATCTATATTGGTTTGCAAGATGTGCTTCTTATGTTTGCTAAAATAAACAATATTTTTGTTACTGATTTAAACAATAAACTATGAACGTTGCTGTAATACTTGAGCAGTAGCTCTCTTTTATAATCATCCAGTAAAAGGTACTAGTATTTATTTTCTTTACCTTTTTCAAATTTATCTGTAGGATATTTCAGAAACATATCTATGTGCGTGCATGTATGTGTACATACAAACAGGCTACTAAAACTTCTAGCAAGGCTGCTTTTAAACCATTAACCATGTACCAGCTATTAGTTGGAGACAGCATTCTGATGCTGTTATCTGCTTGTTTAGCACAAAGGAGGCCAAACAGAGCGTCTATGCTGATACTTAAGGCTGAGCTATCCCCCTAACACACAAGCCACTTACCCTTCTGTATCTACTCCCCCTACCAAAGCTCAACACATTGTGCCTCAGATTCCTAACATGGCATTAAAGATGCATCCTCAGTGCTTTCATTGAATTGTAGGGATTGATCTGCAACACTGCATCTTTCCTTCCAGGCTTGCTGGCAGTAGAGAAGGAAGGCAGGTAGAAAGTTTGGAAAAACGAAAAAGCTCAGGGACTGCACAACATTGTAAGTGCCAGACACTGGGGGATTTTGAGGGAGGGAGAGGAAGGAGGGAAAGTACTGGAGGAAGGACAGAAGGAGCTGAGAGGGGAAGAGGTTGATTCGCCCATGGAATTCAGTAAAGTATCCAGCTTTAGGCTAAGCAACAGTCAGAATTTAAGCTAAAGAGCCCATAGTGTGAGCACCTGGGATATACTGAAGGCTGTGTTGCCACAAGCAGTTCTCTTTGAATGTTACATGTTGGTAACCAAAAGGATTCGTGGTTATTGAGGGACCCATAGGACATCATTGCAAGTGGTAAGGCTTCTCAGTCAAGTGACAGTATTAAAACTCTGCCAAATTTACCCTTTGAAACTAGTCAAAATTATTCTCACAAACACAGCCATGAACTTCTGTGGCCCTTTCTGATATCCAAATAGTAAATCTTTAATTGTCATACTTAATCTTATGTCATCACATATTCCCTCTTTCTGTATATACCACATGAGCCTGTATGAGCCATTTCACAGAAGAAAACTGCAAAGAAGCGTCCACTGCAAATATGGGACACAAAAACTTTGATGTTACAGGCTTCCAGATCTCCCAGATTCATAGGAAGGTAGGCGATGCTTTCAACATAGGCCCTTAGCTTCCTGCCTCCAAAAAAAAAAAAAAAAAGGTTTCTGTGGGCTTAGTCTACTGTGCTCTGAGACACGATGTAATATGTTGAGAGAATGTTGCAAAAAGAGACAAAACCTAAGCCAGCTATCTAAATACCACTTTTTGAAAGAGAGGAGTAAGGTCTTCATTGGGAGTTTGAGCTAGTGGTTAATAGAAGGCTAAGAGAAAGAATTTATACAAAATTAGCTAAAACAGACAGCATGCTGCCAAGGCAAAAGATGTGGAGGATATATTATTTCATTAACCTTCAAAAGATTCCTGGTATGTATTTCTGAAGAATCAGCATGGGGATTGTGGGGGAGGAAGAGAAAGTTATTAGTGGGGGAAAAGAATACCATTGAGTTTTGTGAAAGCTAACAAAAAAACATGACTTAATGCTGACAAGCACCAAACTGGCTGCTCTGAACCTATTTCTTCAAAAAGACTTTTTCAAAATTTGGGTATACGTACGTAGCCAGACAGCCAGGTATCTTATTTCAAAAGAAATCCTTTAACGGTTATAATACAGAGTTTCAGCACCTTGAAGATTCTTACCATTTTTGAAGTTGCACAGTAATGAATACAGGCTTCCTCAGGAGAGGAAGGAGGAGGAGAAAAAGAGGGCATAGATGAAGAGTTGCCTGCTGAGTAGGATATTCTCCGTGGTGCCCAGAGAAATCCCAGCTCCAGTCCAGGTCAACAGCTACCCTAACAAATGCTCTAATCATCGCAGGGTTGCACCTCCCCCTCATTCTCCTGCCAGGAGCTGCATACGAGACAAATTTGGTGTCTATTTTGAGGCTCCCAGGCAGCCCCCAGTGAGAGGCAGGTATCTAGATATTGGGCTCTGCAAGGGCTGTTGTGCAACTGGGTATGAGCTAGTCAGAGGGTTTTTGTAGTGGTGGTGGTGGTTCTAATGGAAATTTAGATGTTTGTGGTCATTTAAGCAAGTAGAAGAGGTGCTTGTGCTCCTTTTAGGTACCTCAGTTATGCCTATTTGAAAATTCAGATGGATGTGTGCAGTTTTTTTTCCCCAGCAAAAAGGCCAATTTAAGGCAGTTGTTCTTCCAGCTTCACTTTCCTGACCCCTCAGTTGCATCAACTGGAACTTTTTGCAGGCCCTGTCTAAAAACCAAATGAGATAAATCATAATTTATGTCTTAAAGAAATAACTAATCTAGCTCTCAGAAGAATGTGACATCCCAATGAATGTGAGACATAATGCAACAAAGAGGAAGTGTCCCCTGCTTTGGTGCCAGAGGAAACTTTCCTGTAACAAAACACAGATACCTATTACCATAAAAGGGCCTTATCTTCTCATTTGTGTAGTGTGTTCACATTACACTAGTATTGTCAGGTTTTAATTAAACATTTGGAAATTGCTATGGATTCTTCCAAGAGAGAAGCCAGTATAAATAAGACAATTACACTAAAATGGGTGATGAAATAAGTAAGTGACAGAAGTAATTCTATTTGTTACAGAAACTCTCTCTAACATCTGATTGTCTTTCCTTCATATTATTAAAATAAAGTCCTACTTTCCAAACGTATGTATGCAGATCATTTTTAAACGCAGAGATTACAGAAAAAGGTAATTCTTTTAAGAAGAGAATTGTGCTTGGTGGAAAGGGTAGGCATCTGTCAGGCCCAGATAAGATCAGACAGCTGTGCTCTATCCTGAAAGGGTATTGTGAAGCTAAGTTTTCCTAGGGAAATAATGTCTTTGGTATGAAAAGCAGCAAAATGTAATGAAGTCTCCAAGCAAATAAATTGAGAAAACAGGAAGTCTCAGAGCTCATTTTTATCTAAAATACCAACACTATATTGGGAGAAAAAAAAAATAGAATGAGAGGAGGATAACATCTGAACCACAGTGAATAATATGGAGCAGGAAGATCATCTCACTTCATATTCTCAATCAAATTAATCCTTTAGAGTAAAAACAAAGTCAAGAGGCGACTTCAGCAACAATAACAACAGGCTGCTAGGATAAGAAGAGCGCTGGGACACACAACTCTTAGGATTAGCAACAGGGTGGCTACAACAGAGACAAGGAAGCAAGCCAGGCAGAAATCCAGTCAGTGTTGCGAAACAGCTAAAGGGGAAGGTGGAGCCAGGCTGTTCCAAGAGGTGGGCAGTGAAAGGGCCAGTAACAATAATCACAAAATTAAGTGAGGGAAGCTTGGGTTTGACTGATGGAAGAACGTTCCTCACCGTGAGCGTGGTTAAGCACTGGAATGGGAAGCCGGGGAAGCCTCCCCCTGGGGGATTTTCAGAACTTGACCTGAGTCAGCCTCACTCTGAAAATGGAATAAGTACTGAATACCTCAAGAAGTCCTCTTAAGATCGTTTTTGTATGATCCCTATGGAATGATAAGCTTATGGTTTACTGGGAAGGAGAGCTGTAGACCAGAATCATAAGAGAAACTTCATAAATGCAATAACTTCATGGGAAAAAATCTCCTATGCATCTCGGGCAGTGCCAGGATTGGCAGTGAAAATGAGGGGCATCCAGGAATGCATGTCAACAGGAAAGCAAATAAGATTCCTGGAGAAAGAAAGAACTGAATGTGCCTCCAAAAGGGACTTCCAGTAAGAGGTAGGTCTCTGTTTCTATTAGTAGGGCCTCTCAGAATGATTCTGGGCTTGAATTAACAAAAAAAATAATAATGATTTGTTTCGATGACGGGTTAAGATTTAACTTCAAGGTGATAACTTGGGAGAGTAGGATTAGAATTCAAGATGAACTGAAAAGGAAAAATAAAGGAGAAATGTTTTTAAAAAGATGCAATTCAATAAGGAAATATACACCATGCTTCACATGACTAGGGATAATCAACTGCACAAATAAATGATGAAGGATGACAAGCAGAAAATTATTTTTGAGGTGTTGCATATCACAAACAACATGACAAACCTTTCCAAGGAAAGTGGATGCATATTTCATGAAGCCCCCTTTGGGTGCTATTTTCTATGATTATTAGAATTTTGACAAGATCTACCTGAAATGTCTGGCTGGGTGGAAAATCTGTTTAAAAAAAAAAAAAAAAGTAACTTAAAAGAATGCTACATGTAGAGAAATGTATAGTCTTAGCTACTGTGACTATGCAAATGAAACAATGGAGGGGGACTTGTGATGGTCAGTGCCAAATTAGATCACAGTGACACAGAATCACAGGGTATCTGTAAGTTATTAACTAACAAAGGACTACTGAAGGCACCTGGAGTAGTATAAAAAGAAGTTACGAGGCCCTGAAATTTTCAAGTCTGATACTTAGAGAACGTGTCTTGCTGCTAGTGACCGAATGTGCTAAATGCATGGATACAGTAATTACCATATCTGAAATGCATGACAGAAGTTTCAGCATCATGATAAGAGATATAACAACTCAATTCAAGACGTAGACATGAGAAACAGGATACAGGCTGCAGGCGAGTCAGGTCCTACTGTGTGCTGTTCTCTTACCACTGCAACTGATTATTTTTATTTGCCATACTGCTCGAGGAAAATCTGAGTAGAAAAGACAGCCTTTAATAAAAGGTGTGGAGAAAGATAACAGTGAGCAAGAGTTTCTGGCTGGTGGGAGAAGCAGTGTCTGGAGCACTCAATATCTGTACCAGCAACACACCAGCCCTGGATGACGAAGCTGGTGAGGGGCCTGGAGAACAAGTCCTACAAGGAGCGGCTGAAGGAGCTGGGCTTGTTCAGCCTGGAGAAAAGGAGGCTCAGGGGCGACCTTATCGCTCTCTACAGATACCTTAAAGGAGGCTGTAGAGAGGTGGGGGTTGGCCTGTTCTCCCACGTGCCTGGTGACAGGACGAGGGGGAATGGGCTTAAGTTGCGCCAGGGGAGTTTTAGGTTAGATGTTAGGAAGAACTTCTTTACTGAAAGGGTTGTTAGGCACTGGAACGGGCTGCCCAGGGAGGTGGTGGAGTCACCATCCCTGGAAGTCTTCAAAAGACGTTTAGATGTAGAGCTTAGGGATATGGTTTAGTGAGGACTGTTAGTGTTAGGTTAGAGGTTGGACTCGATGATCTTGAGGTCTCTTCCAACCTAGAAATTCTGTGATTCTGTGGACTAGCCAAGCGTAGGTTAGGATCACTGAAGGACCAGTAGAGGCCAGTAAGAGAGAAAAACAACCAACAAAAACAAGCACAACATTCTTGTGCTGTGCAAAATATAGCTGAGTGCAGCTGAGTCAGGCTGAAAATCAAAGACTACTTTTCTGCTACATAAAACATGTTACTGCTTATTTTAGCATCTGTAACAAGACAAAGCAGAAATAAAATGCATGTTATGGCATGCCTTTACATCCCAGCAAATGCTGTAACATTGCAATGTGCTTCATTACATGAGACAATCCATTGATTGGCACATTTCAGCTGTCACTAGTGTATTACAAATGAGTAGATCCTCTTCTGTGAGAAAACTGTATTTCTCACTGCCTTCTCAGTGTGTTTGCATCTACTGGTGGCCTGGTTTTCCCCAACATGGAAAACATATACCAGACATGACTTAACAAATCTGTACTGTTAGGAAAACTGCACTATTTATGAAATGCTTTAATTAAGCTGGTTAAATTGCTTAATTAAAACTATTTTAAAAGCACATTCTCATTTATGTTATGGACGTTAAAGGTCTTATGGCCTCAAAGAGTATAAAGGGGTCCAAAAGTAGCCATAATGTAAATAAGAATTACCAACATTATTTTCAGTGGTGTTATTTACAGTTACTTATCTTGTCAGCATTGGCTTAATTATCATCTGGTTCTAAAAGGCTAATAGTTTCACTGCATTACCCTCCAGATCTGGTCTTCTTCAAAACCAGTTTAAAAGAAAAAGAGAACAGTGATTTCAAAAACATTGCTCACCACCTCCCTCTGCTGAGAGTTCCTGTATGTACCAGCAGAAGTAGATAAATCTTGGAGGTACCACTGCTTCTGGACTGGTAAGTTATCTTATATCAGATCAACGGTGGTTTCAAAGGACACGTGAGACTGCTAGTTGTGGTGGTAAAGATTCAATTGCTTTTTCCTATCTACCAACTTACTAAACTCTGCCATAGGAAAAGGACGTAGATGTACATATTGTTGAGACAATAGCTTCAAAAACCAGAACTCATCCATCAGTACCCAAATCCATTTGAATTTCACAAGACTTATATCTTCGATGATTTATTTTTAAAGTTGTTGGTGTTTTGGGGTTGTGTGTGTCTTTTAATTGCCAGTATGCAGAATATTTCTGCCAGTATATTTCTGAATAAAAATTACAATGCATACATACAGCATCTACATGCATCTGAACACACTCACATTCCTGTGTGTATTTGTAGATCCAGGGTTACCTGAACTGCACTAAAATTGATAAATGTTGAAATGAACAGGAGCACAAGAGACCGTCTTTGTGTATTTCAAACTGAGAAAGTAATCAAAGTTCAAGTAGAGTAACTTATAAGGGTGAGCACCAGCAAAGAAGTGAAGAACAGTGACCTCTGCATGGTTGCTACCAGCTCAGTTCCAGAAAGATACTGATGGAGGCATCCTCCAACCGTGCTGACCAGGGTCACAGACAGGAGTGGTGAAACAAGATGTTTGCTCCATTTTAGAGTCCAAAAAACATACAATAGAAACACACATTTGAATAATTTAGCTTAAAAAAAAAAAAAAAAAAAAAAGCAGCATGTTCTGCTCTCTCCACCGAGAGGATCCCTGAATACACAACTGCTGTTCCACAACCAAATGTCAGCAGCTGAGTGACACGCAGGCCTGGAAGAAAAACCGAGAGCTCAAAACCCCCTTCTGCATGGCTGCTTGATGGCATATGGTACGTGGTGTGGGCTTTGTTGTGAATCCCAGACAAGTCATTCTGCCATGCGGACTTGGAGCATTGCATCAGAAAACATCCAAGTCCTAATTTCTGGGTTGGTGCTCCAGTATGCTCTCTGTTCAGGCAGCAAGGAGGCCCACAGCTCCCTCTGCCTCAACATTTAAGGATTGCTTTCAGTCTCTAATAACTGTGCATCACCTTGGAAAATTAAAATAGTAGCTCTTGTTCTGATTGTATGTGAAAGTATGACTAAAACAAATCTCATGGCACTGATAAAGTGTTGTATTCACTAAAACTTCAGAATCCTATTATGGATCTTTCCATATTGGTGTTGTGTATGCTGCACAGTGGGTAAGAAAAAAAAAAAAATCAGATTTCAGGTGCTTACGAGCATGACAAATAGGCACTGAAGTGGCCTTGAGCACTGTGATGCAGTAACTGAGAAGAAATTGAAACATTCAATATTCTGAGGTGCCTGAGCCCTCTGCAGATGGCTCTTGGATACTTGCTATTAATCTAGCCCCAAAAGAAAGTGCCTCCAGTTCTGTTGATTTTTGTGGGTTTTCTTGTGGGCTTCTTCATATTTTTAGTTTTTTATTTTTTAACACTGACAACAGAAATAGTTTTAATTATATAATGTGAGTAATAATAATGTGGGCATTAACTTTCAGCTATTATTCCAGTGTTCATCTCTAAGTGAAATTAATGCAAGATTTAGCAGAAGTCCTTTGTACAGTAACAAACCTCCAATTCCGTGAGGTTACTGTACATTTCAGTGTTAATTAGGAGCTTTGCTGAATTTAATTCAAGGTTGCTGACAGAAAGACTTGTGGTCAGGAGTATTTTAAACTTGTGACTGACAGTGACAGCAGTGCTACAGTTTTCCCTCTCATTCAGAGTATGTGTTTTGCTTGTCTTCATACCCTAACATTTCATTAAATAATCTGCTGGTTAATAATTCATTTAAAATGTACATCTATTTGTAAATGTTCATCCTTGTTTAAAGCTGAATTTTATAAAAGAATGCATAATTAAAGTGTAGAAATAACTTTTTTTTTGTCTCTGTTTCCATCTAGCAAGTGAATCTGTGGAAAGAAATGCATTCATAGATGAACAGATGACCTGAAAGTATCTATATATTATATAATCCATTTAGACATCCATTCTGAGTGATTGAAGACAATATCAGCAGGTATTTGATCATTAGGTGTCATTAACACATGCATAAAGATAAGTATTTATCTGTTCCACTACAATGAAAGTTCAGAGGTTTAACATCTCTACTTTAAGAGCTTCTCTGGTTTAGATTTTCATATAGATGGAGGCATTATGAGTCTGAAATGATGTGTAATGTTAAAAAGGCCCAAAAGATTATAGCAGTAATATTTACTCTAAAGTTTGCCTGGCACTTGTGAGGCATTGCAAAAATTCATAATTTCTCAACACAAACCTCCCTAGTCTTCCAGCAAGCATACTTCTATATCTTTAAATAAAATAAACTTAAATTATGTGGGTTGTAGGTCAAAAATTTAGAGCACTGAGCAGATTAGAACAACAAATTGGCTATTGCTCAGTCACACACACAGGTGTGACCCAGCAGAGGTCAACAGCCAGACAATTTGTTGAAGCATGGAAAGTTTAAAATAGACTGTGCAAGTGTAGTTTATATAAATAGGTGATGTACAGTTGCCTTCTAAGGCCAATACAAGTGTATTTATTACCTAAAATTAAACTGACCTATGCATGAAGAAACCATGAAATATGAAGAAGCCAGCAGTTTTATGAAAGAAATTAAGTGGTACTTTACAAGATTATTAGAACTTCCATTGATTTTGTGAATAATTGGGTTCCTTGATTATTTTGTCTGTCTTCCCAGACATTAAGTCATCCCTTATAAATGAAATTTAATTACTGATTAAAGAGAACATGAGCACATCCCCAAGCACAGTAACAGGGCTTGTGGTAGCACAACAATTCAGCAGCTCCCTGCAGCAGCACACAGAACCCATCCAAAATTAGATAGAGCCCCAACGTACTGCAAAACTACACTTTGCTGGCTCTCCCTGTGTTATCAGGGAAAGCCACAACACCCAGGGGGTGAAATCAGGTAAGTGTAGCTTGTGTTCCTACTTCTCCCTTAAAGCCAATGTTCACATACCCACAGTGCTTTATGGACAAGCCCACGGTCTGGGCACGGGCACTCATCCCTGCTGACAGCCAGCCTGCTGGCCTTGTCCTTCAGGGGCGCCCAGGGAGAAAAGAGGGCTGCATTCTGCCTCATCCAGGAAGAAATGAGTTGAAATGATAGGAGAAAAGTAGCACAAACTGTAGGGTTGGTAGGAGCCAGGACACCACAGTACCACAGGTCACAATGCTGCATAGTTGTTCCAACCACTCTGAGGTTAGGCAGATGTCACAGCACCTGGATCTAGTCCAAAGTAGTAAAATCAGATCTATTTCAAGATAGTTATGTCTCCTTTCAGTGGAAGAAGGGTTCCCTGAAAATTTTACATCGATGTAACTACAACCAAACACCCTACCCAACCATGACATTTCTGTAAAGGCTGCAGAGCCACAAACAAGATCTGGACTCAGCAGCTGCCCGTTATCTGTGCCAGTCAGAGATGCCAAAGAAGGCTGATTTAAATTTAAAATCCTATGATTTGGATATTTAAAAATGTACATTAAAAAATATATACAGACTCAAATCATTACTGATTAATTTTATAAATACATTTTGGCACATTTTCCATGCAGCTTAACCTTTTGAAAATAGTAGCTATTACTGGGCCAAAAGCATCTTTTAGGTTTAGAAGGTCTTTAAATTCTAAACATACCTGGTGCTTATGTTTCAAATAAAGATTAAAAGCTAGTAAAAAAGTTTCACACTGAGCTAAATCCACACCAGAATGGTGTTATAAATATGCAGAGGCTACAGGGAGTAAAAACAGGGGGGAAAAAAGAGTTCAGCAAAGAAAGCTCCTTTCTTTTCTCTTCAGGATCAAATGCCATCTCCAGATCCAAAAGAAAAAGGTGAAAACTATCAAAAACCACATAGAATGGGAATCTGCAGCAAAATTTAGAACAGAAATATTCTTCAGTGATGTGTAAGAGAACAAGGAAATAAGCAGCAGGGATGCTATAAACTGTGGTGAGGAATAAATTAAAGCTGATCTAGCTGTGACTAAAATTTGCAGAGATGATATTTAGAGTGTCCAGTTTTAGGCGTTCAACCTACATAGCTCAAGAGGGAATCTTTTAGTTTCTGCCTCTAAATTATACACCGTGATTCAAGTTTAAACCTTCTAGAAGGTGACATGCAAGTCCCTGTGAATACTCAGTGAGAGGAGTACTCAAAACTTGCAGTGAGGATGAGATGGCTAAAGGCAATAAGGTTGAGGAATGGATGTTACTAAAACCAAGTAAAGCTTGATGTTCTCAAAGTGAATACATCCAGCAATCACCTTTCTTGAATAAGGAAGGCCTGATAGTTTGGGTTTTTTTGGACAAATTGTTCCATCAAATTAAGGCTTGAAAGAAGAAAATATACTGTTTGTTGGACGGTTGGACAGAATAACTGGGGAATTATAGATTCATTCATCTGACCTCAATAATACTCAAGTCTTTAGAACACACTGAAGGATTTTAATACAAATAAATGGAAACAAAAGTAATGGTCCCATACAGCAACCAGAATAGATTTTGCCATGCTTGTACACTTCTACAAGAAAGGGAGATGCTAAAGGAGATGAAGAGAACCCAAACAAGACACTACACCTATTTGTAGGCTAATGAGCATCTGCAAGGCAAACGTGGAGGCACCCTGTTCTCTATAATACTCCGTTTGTAGCTGTGAATGCTTGCATTAATGCCAGTTAATCTGCAGAGCTATGAAGTGAGAGAATGGAGTGTTGGCCACGGGACTGGAGTTAGCTGCTGCACTTCAAGCACCGTAATTGAATCCTACACAGCCTCCTGGACTCCACCAGAACCAAGCAGATGGAGCCTCACTAAGCTGCTTGTTCAAATACAAATACATAATAAAGAAATACACATTAAGGGGTTGACACAACACCAAAGCAGAGGAATGGGAATGGTTTTACTAGAAGTGCTTCTCACTTAAACCTTTTTGGGGGCGCTTCCAATAAAGTGAAGAATTCACGGTTTGAACCAGGAGTAGCAGAATAAAATTGAGTCTAAGTAAAACCAGCTTACACTTAAGATAGAAATAATAAGATAAGAAGAAAACCAAGTAAAAGACAGTCTGACTGCTTTTATGTAATGCATCAGCTTCAAGCAGCTCTGCAGTTTTCTGAGTTTTTGGATCCTTGCAATTAAGGCAGAACTTATCCATTATATCCTGCAGTACAAGGATGCCTTTTAGCTTGCTTTGGGGTGTTTTTTGGGTTTTTTTTTTTTGGAAAGACTTGTCACTTCTCTCTTTCATTCCTACTCCAGCTGAAATTTGGACACCCCTTCCCCCTTTCCAGCAAAGCTTTAGAGAACAAATAAAACAAGGATGAAAAACTCTTTAGCTTTTTAGTTTAAAGATATTTATGCTCTCATTTGGCTCCCATTTTCTTTCTTTCTTTAAAATCCTTGAAATCTTACAGTCAGTAGAAAACGTGCAACTTAAGTATCTCTTTCTCCTGAAACCATAGCAGAAACCATCCATCCTTCTGGGATAAACAAGCTGAGATAAAACTCTTTTGTTCTCTGTGCCACAACTGAAGAGAAATTGCTTGCACCACCGGATTATAACTTCATTTTAAAGTAGTTTTCTTAATAAGTGAAAAGTGGGAGTCAGACTATAGAAAGAGATGGGGCAGAGAAAAAAGAGAACAAGAAACACAAGAAGAATAAACTTCAGAAGACTTCTCTACTACCTTACGGATATCATATTCTAATTTTGACATACTTCCTACTCACAGAGTCATTTTGTCCACAAATGTTTTTGTACCAGCTCTTTTAATTTTAAGAATATTTTCAAAGAGTACTACCTTACGCATTGTATCTCCCTACACACGGCCCTACTGTTTTGTCAGGATGCATTCTTGACTCACTGTATTAAATACCCTGAGGACAGTATTAGCTGCAACACAGATAGGTAAGGAAGAGGATGTGAAATGGAGTCTTAATTCTGAATTCCCTGACCAACCTTGTTGCTCAAATGGAAATAAAGAGTATGGGAGAAAACCAAACAGGAGAAGGAGAACACAGTTTTCTATTCTTATTTAAAGGATAACGATGTCCTAAGGGAACCAATAAAAGAAAATGAAATTGTACAAAGGACAACTCCAGTACATCTAGTAAACCTTGTAGGAAAAAACAACAACAATCAATAATAAAAAACTATTCACAAGAATGCTAAATAAAGCCAGCTAGGAGTAGAGCCTTTTGAAATGCATATATTGTTTTCTGGGTTTGAAGACTTCAAAAATCATTATTCATAATCCAGGTTGAAATTCAATAAAGATATTTGCCCAGTGTTTACCTCTTTTTATGCAACCTGTGTTTATATAAATTACTACAGAAAGAGAAAAATGGCAAACTTCTACAGCATAGTACATACCACGTGGATTCTGCTTAAAACAATTTTTGCATTCACGCCAAAAGACGTACACTTTTCAGCAAGGTAATCCATGTGTTATTCTGCTCTGTTTGACTAGATGGTTACCCCTGCTAAAGTCAGTTGATTTTTATGCAAGCAGTACAGCAAACCATAAGTTCACATAAAAAAGTAGTATGCAAACACACCAACAATTAAGCAAGGTGTGAGAATAGTCCAAAATCAGCCAAAAATCAGACTATTCTACATAGCAAGCTTAATACAGTGTATTTTTCATATTCCACTTATTTCAAAGGAATGGTCAGATTTTCATCAAATTATTACTGCAATTACCTGTTTATATTGAAATTAAGCACAACAAAAAAAAAGCCTAAATGAGATTCGTGGAAGTTTATGAACAGTGAGGATGGGGGAAGACTCTGAATGAATTAAGATGTCATTTACCTGGATAGCAGGAAGGAATCTTCAGATGTCTATGTATTACACATATGTAAACCACACATACTGCTACTCCAATACTTACTCACATAAAACTTATTTTTATTAATGAGGACAGCATATCTATCTCTGTTTTACGAGGTATGTTCCTAAGTACTTATCCAGTGCTTTGAATTCCATAATGTTTTTGAATGGAATTGTTCTGGATGACACCTGGAAACTTAAGCAATCATTTTGTCAGGTAATCAAAGATTCACCTTTAAGTTCCAAGTTCTACGTTCTGAATATTCAGACATTAAGAAATTATATTTCAATATATTGACATTTCAGATGACTGAATCGATCTGCCAAACAATATATCTTAAAGAGAAACAAACACCAACAACCAACCAACAGACCATGGCAAAAGTCTGTTTTTAGAGTATTTAAGATCTGTCAATGTTTTCCAGTGTATCAATATTAATGAAGCTTGGCAAACAGGGTCTGTGGTTGAAGTTCATATTAATACAGCATTAGGTCCCGAAGAAGACCTCCTGATTCACTAAAAGTTTTGTTGAAGATTTAACCAGAAAAATGCTAGTGATATCGTTAGATTTCTCTGCACTGGGCCCACATTTACCCTGGAAGAATTTCCTGCACGTTGTTACAGGTAATGAAAATGAATAAAAGCATTATAATGTATATCATATAATGTATATATACAACACTATATACAACAAAAAGTACCTTTTCAGTACAATTAGCATGGAATTCACATTTCAAAAACTGCTGAACGATGGTAGTGATAACTGTCAGATGATTTACTGCAATCAAACTTTGCACCACTAAAATAACTCTTAGCGTTGCATATTTTAGAGTAAAACACAAGAAAAGTTCAAAGAAGAGTCCAGGTACTTATTACATCATATTTTATAACTCAAAGAGTAGCTACATCAAAGTTCTATCACATTTAATCCTTACATTTCCACCTTCTATTTTTCCCCTGAGGTGTGCTTTATCATATAGGTGCACAACTAAGTAGGGATGGTATGACTGACCTCTCCCTTCTCTTAAAAGTCCACGATGAATTCCCACTTACTATAAATGATCAAAGTTTTATGGACTAATGACAGTTTAAAATACTTTTTTCCCCACTTTTACTGCAGTACTGTCATTAAGACTAACAATCTAAAGTAGCTAAGAGAATGAGTAAGCAAGATGATTTACACAGATGATAGTGCAATGGAAAGAAGCGGGGAAAGATTCTTTGAAATTTTTTGTAGCTGAACCATTAAAAAGATTTACACCAAGGTCTTTAAGTGAAAAGAGAGCACTGCCAAAGAGGTCTGGCAAGCTCTTCTATCAATAAAATACTCTGCCACATAAATTTAGCCAAACCTTCAGCTTAAAACCTGATTAAAAGCTAGAAGGAACTTGTTTTGTTACCAGAGAGATCCCACCACCCCAGCATCCAAAGAGACTGCTTATAAAAATCAGTCAGGATAGAGACATTTTTAGGAAAAAGCTTCCACCATCACTGAATCTCCTCTATTTTTCCATGAGGCCATATACAAGAACTCATGAAACATTTAGCATGAGAGAGCACACAGGTTCTAATACAGGGCAAAGTTGTGTTGAAATTATTTAGGGCCGGGGACAACATTGAAACCATCTGTGTTTCTATAGCTGGCTGATCAAGGCTTCTAGAAGACTCAAAATGTTCATGTATCCTTATAAGTTTTGTATTTAAATTCTTTCATAATGTTCTTCAGTTAGAGATTATTTTGGTACAAGCTTTTATCTTTTTCACATCCCACCTCCTACCATTTTTACTCATTACAGGTAGCCTTAGGAGGCTATCAGACCTAGATGTTGGCATAGGGCACATTCAGAGCGAAGACTTGACTTCATGACTGTACAAGAATATAAATCTGGACTCTGAAAGCAGCGATGTTTGATAAGGTTTCAACAAGATTTCAAAAGCAAGCAACAGAAAGAAAACAGGAGGTTTTCTGCAGGTCACTATGCCAGAACATTATTATTTGTTTGGTGCTAAAATGGGATTAGGGCTGTAAAACACAAGTGTTTTGACAGCCCTTGCTTCAAGATCAGCTGTTCGTGACATTTCCACCAGCTTGGATTGCTGCCCCTCCAGAGCCAGAAGACAGGTGCCTTCCAGTTTTGGACTTCACCCAAAATAAAGACAGGAGGGATAGATACTCATACGCCCTCATACGATACTCACCCCTCCCCAAAGGACCAAATAAAGAGAGGAGCTTTATACACTGCACACCAACAGTAAACAAGTTCTAGCAGGATGAAAAGCAAGGAGCTGAAGTGGCAGCCAGGCAAGGAAAAGTGCCTGTTGGTTACTTGGTCTTTTTATGCTGCAGAAGTCCAAGCATCCGTGCTGCCTGAAGACAGCACATCACAACTATTGGGACAGACCTGAGCCAAGTTTTTTAACCTTCAAACAGAGATCTGTAGGAAGAAATCCATAGGGATGGTAGCCAGGTGAGTTAGCTGACCATTGCATGTGTCCTGTGCCTTTTTACTCCTCCAAGACACAACCTTGGATGACTGACCCATCATAGTAGGCTTGAGTTTCTACAGAAGTGTGCGTTAAGTAGCTGAATAGCATTTAGGAGTTGTTGTGGTCCTTCAGCCAATGAGGTACGGAAGAGGAAAAAAAGCACAAAGGGAGCTGGGAGAGGACAAACAACCCTGTAACCAACAGCACCTTTCCCAGATCAGAGCTGCTACTTGAAAATTCAACCATTTGGGTGACAGCATGGTAACAAACTAAGGACACCATCAGTATGTGTCCTGGGAAAGAGCTAGATGCTACTCCTTGTCCTGCTCAGCCTTTCCTCAGCCACCATTTGAGCACTTATAAGCTTTGAGGCATTTGAGCTTTCACCTGGTTAACATCTGTAGGTTAACATCACAACGTTCAGTTACTAGCATAGTAAAATAAGACAAAAAAAATCATAGGGAGCCAACACTACATCACAGAAAAGTCAGCCTACAAGTCCTCATCGCCAATCTTTTATTTCCATCACAGAATAACAACCTCCTCTCCAAATACAAATGTTAACTATTTGTTTTCTAATAGATAAATATTGTCTCTAGTATTATTTTGTATGAGTTGGAATAAACACTGGAAATTATGCATGAAAGTGCTTGTGGGCATTTTCTTCATTTATGGTCAGAACTCTAAGTTTTAGCAAATATACACACACACACATATATATATATCAAATAATAAGAAAACCCATCCCAGCATTACATGCATTCTCTGAAAAACATGCAACACACACACAGATGTGCGAAGAGAAGACCCTAAAGACAAATGTCCTGTCAACAAGGAACAGATCAAAAACGTGGACTTCACAATGACAAAGTTTTAACTGAACGCAGATTTTAAACTGCTTTGGATGAATGTGAACAAAGCATTTTCTTCCGCTAAGAGCCATTTGTCAGCCAGAAACAACAAAGTAGGTGGATTGGGAAAAGCTGAGAAATGGAAGAAGGTGACTTCGGGAGCAAGAGGATGAGGTGTTTGGGGGACATGAAGGGACAAGCAGAGGCACAGTTTGCACCCTCAGCCAGACACACTGCCAGCAGGGGGAACGAGGGCTCACATGAGACATGTGATTTACTCCTTTTGACTCCTTGAGAGTCAGTACTTGTCTCCAAAAGCTAAGAAGCTCTTGGACATTTCTGCAGCTTTGGGAGGGATACCTCTTTGAAAATACATCAGATTACTAGTGGCAGGTGGTAAGCTGGGTCATAAAGAGAATGATTTTATTTTCTGGTCAATTTACAGACATATCAAGTAGTTGGGATTTTTATATAGCTTCCTATCTTGTGTGAATGAAGGAATAATTAATGAATTTCTTCATTCATATACAGAATATTTAGTGATCTTTAGCTGGGAACTTTCAGCAAAATTCAGTGAAAACATTTATTTTTCTTTTCTTTCCCCTTCTTCCATTGTTGTATAACAATCTGGGAAACCAAAGCAGATCATGCATTGAAAAAACAGGACCGGAATGATTCATTAGGAGCACTGAAGAATGATTTTTGCTTATACATTTTTCCCCCAGCTGATGCACTGGCTGTGTGCACACAGGACCCCATTCCTTACAGACCTACTCCTAAGAGACTGCACGAGAGAGTTAAAAGCACCAAGACCTGTTACTCATTCAGGTGTGTGAAGTCAGACAGCTTCAGAGGGGATTACAAGTGTCTTTTTGCCACTGAATCTCCTCCACACTGAGTAGCACTCAGTGCATGTGTTCACACAATCGTTACCTTTCGGGTTTGTAGGTGTAGGACCGTTTCCATCTCAAGTACCTTCCTGGAGGGAAACGCTGCATATTTCTCCTCTTTTCAGAACATTGGCAAAGGGATGAAAAAATCATAAATAAATGGTTTATTTCCTCCTACATTTCCTCCCTAATGCGAAATACAATTTTTACATACTGCATATTGATGACTTCTGTAATGCTGTGATTTATAACACTTGCTTCACTCCGTTTCATTGTAATTTTTTATTCTGATCAAATATGCTTTTTGCTCGATTTTTTTTTTTTTTTTAAACTGTGTGGTTTTATACCGCGTGCCAATTTAAATAAAAAGTTATTTAATAAATGCGATAGTACTTGCTGGTGAGTGCCTGTTGTGCATTTTGCCAGTAGATGGCAGCATGCTGCTGCTTAGTCGTGAAGGCTCTGCATAAAATCCCTAAAGCAGAAACTTTCTAACAGAAACTATTGTGTAAGGTTTTGTTTGTTTTATTTTTTCAAATCCACATTCCTATACGTTCTCTCACAGCAAAATATTTCCATTGTGTCGCTTGCAACCCTTCTGGGGCTGAGGCAAAGAGTAAAGTTTTCCTTGATTTTTTTTCTTGAAACATTAGTTTATAATGTTTCACAGAAATTAAGATTTCTGGAAAGCAGAGATAAGCTGGACAAAGTCTGTTGGTACAGACACTCAGGAAGGTTTGTAAATGGGGAATTTCAGCCCTGTATCCGCAGTTCTGGACGTCATTTCTAGCAACAAAAACAGCTCTTGTATCCTTGCCTCTTCAAAATTCTTGACGACACAATATATTTTCCTGTTATCAAACAATATGCAGACATATATAACAATTTTCCTCCTTTCCTACTGGTATAACAGGCAGCAGCAGGATATCTGTGAGCATATACCTAAAAATTTAAAATAACAGGCTCCAAAATTTTGCTATTGTTATATATGTTCCATATGATAGTTTGAATAAAACAAAACCAAAGTACAGACTTTAATCACTAAATTCCTAACTCGCTGCATTCTCAGAACCAAGATGTGCTGACAGAATGAGCATTGCTAGCTGTGCTTTCAATCTACAGTTTGCTCCTATAAGTAAGAATTTGTGTTAAATGCTGTGGCCAGTAGAACAAAAGTGCATTTTTCACTCCATCATACACAAGGTTTATTGCAATTTGTAGGGCATGGATCTTTCAGGTTAGGAAGTTTAGGGATTATCTTTAACAGTTTTCACAGTGCATTGGCAGCCTTCTAACATGTCCTCTTGTACCCTAGTAAAGGAGAACAGATATATGTGGCTGGCCATTTGATAAAAGCACAAAAAAGAAAAAAAAAAAAATGAGTGACCAGCTCAGGCATCCCCTGTCATTTCAATGCTGTAGCCAGAATGACTTGGCCACTTCAAGATACACGTTAAGGAGCAAAGGATTTTTTTCAGAGGCTTCATGCTTTCTCACTTGAAGTGACCATTTTAGCCTTCTCCTATCCCCCAGAAGTGGCTGGAATTCCACATTTACCACACAGCAAGTAGCAGCTGCTTCAGCACTGTAATGAGAGGGAGAACTTCTGTCAAATACAGTGCCTTTTTTAATATTACAACAGACCACATACAGACAAGATCATAATAAAGCAAAGCCTCAGGAGGTCCCTCCAACATGTAAAAGCATAAAGACTTCACAAATAAATAAAAGACTGCAAATCCCTTTGGTTTGGGCTTGTAAGGGTAGTTTGTATGGCTCCCACACCAGAGCAAACTCCCTTGCCAGTGCCATGAGGTCTTGCCAGGTCTGGGTGCCCGACCTGGGGCTTCTCCCTGCCTCCTGCTCCCCAGTGCCTGCCAGGACAGGTACCCACTCCCCAAGGCTCCTCCTTGCAGCTCCTTGAGTTATTGAGTCTCTGAGAGTCCATCTGCCAAGGAGCAGAAGCTGAAACCAGCTGCTTGCTTGCAGAGAGCATTACCAGGCAATTATCGCCACAGACTATCTCAAAGAATCCCAATTTCAACATGCCTTTGAAATTCAGCATGCTTTGAGTTGAAACAGGTGAACTGTAAAGAAAGATGCTCAAATACATTGTACTGTTAAGCAGTATTAATGGAGTAAAATGATTTAAAGACCCCCAAGGTAATGACAATTTAAATAGCAACAATTACAGCGATGAACAGCAGCCAAAGGTCTGCATCAACTATAAACACAGGCAAACTTCCACTTCTCTGGCTTCTAGCTCTCCCTAATACATCCTAATTTTAAATACTGCTTCTCAGATCCTGAACACAGCTTATATTCAACAATGCCACCAATGACAATTCTTCTTCACTTTGATACTCTTCTTATCCTCTTTTCTTTGTTTCCTTTTTACTTTGCCATTAATTTCTATTTCCTCCCTGATTTCACTTTTCCAGTATTTCCTCCCCTATTTCTTCATGTCCTAGTAAGCTTGACATATCTTAATACTTCTCTGAATTAGTATTTAACAAAGATGAGGTTAAAACAGGGGCAACAGGATCTAATGTAATTATATTTAAAATACTGATAATACTGCATGAGCAGGCATGCCAGAACCCACCAGCTGTTCCTAAAGGTACAAGCCAGCTTTCTGTCTCCTCACATTACAGCCCAGTTTAACCACTGTTGTAATGTATTTTAGGGCAGAAAATATGGAATCTGCTTCATTAGAACTGGAGCTCTAATTTATCTGCTTACAGAAACGTGTGTTGTTCTGTCATTTGGAATATAAAGATTACATGGGGTGTTACAGATAAATACAGCAGAAGTTTGATAGTGTTTGTTAAAGCAGAGTGGATTGGTTTGCATAACAAGATTCTTCAGAGCTGATTTTATACATGTGTATATATAGAGAGAATAACATTTTATATACGGATGATACCACAAAAAAATAAAAAATACACTTGCTTAACTTTGAGTCATACATGGGAAATAGTTTAGGATGTAGAAATATACAAGAAATTAAGCCACAGCTTAGCAGAGGCAAGAGACAACTGTGCTGTGTCCACCTAATAGAACAGCCATTGAGTTGCAGCTAACAGTCTGATCTTGACAGTTTCAGATTGCTTAGGTTAACTGGCACCTGAGTGCAGTTAGAAGATAAACAGATCAAAATTTATGAGGAGCCAACTTCTTGCTTCCTGCCCCATTATTAGGGATCAAGAATGGGGCCTACAAATGAAAATGAGAATGAACCAGGTGTATGGTTTCAAAGAATCTGGTCTAGATACTTGATTTTGGCTGTCTACATCAAAACATGCACCCTCTAAGCCCTTGCTTTTGGCTTTTCCAGGCTGTTACACATACCACTTTTCTTCATTGACTCTGTATCTGAAAAGGATTTATGTCTCATCTTGGCTACCCATCCGGACAAAACAATCTCTGGTAGCCTGCTGCACCTGCATTGCTTCAGACCTTCAGCAAAAACAATCTTACATTGTAGAAGAGTTCTCTGAAATTCTTAAATAAGCTGGCATTTTATTAGTGTTAGAATTTTTTCCTCAACATTCTTTCCTTGTATGTATCAGATGTTTTGGACATGAAGCTGAAACAAAAGAGGTCAGGAGTCCAAAGAGGCAGTGCAGCTGTGGAAGCCAGCTGGGACCTGTGAGTGAAGCTCTGATGACTGATAAGGCTACACCTGGACTTCAGTCCTTCCAAGAGTTTAAGCACAAAAGGTCTGAAGATGATTTTAAGAACCTGGCTTACTCCTAAAGGAGGAGCTATTAGAAAGGAGAAAGTTTGTGGGCACATAATCAGCTGAGGATAAAAGCCACCCTCAGGCAAACTGAAGGCACAGTTCCCTGTGATTCCCTCTGCAGGCAAATTCTTGGTTCTCCCTGTATCCATGCTAGATGTTACCTCAAGTGACAAAGAGATCTGGAAGCTGGAGACACACATGTAGAAGTATAAACCAATTAGCTGTTGTCTGATATACACCTATATATACACCCCCAACCTTGTGCTCTCCTTAGGATTGTGCAACGCTTTATGTTTATTCTCCCTTGGAGTCCTTGAGCTGCCTTCTATGCACTTCTCACCTGCCTTATCTCTGTAGTTTCACCTCTCCTATTTTGCATGGCTATGCTCCCTGTGCTTTATTACAGCTTTTTCTATCAGTTTGGCAGATTTCTCAGAAGTCTGAGCCATGGTTACACAGGCATGCTGTGCGCAAGCTGGGTCTGGGATCGCAGAGAGATGAACCCCAAGGAGTAGGGTTACAGGTATGTCAGGCTGTTCTGGGGAAGAAAAACCTATTGACATCACGTTATGAAGACCTGTCTCTGTTATTGTCAAGTCACATTGCTGGGAGGGAGCAGAGAGCAACAACACACACTTAATAAAGTAAAAGGACCTCTTTGCATCTCCTTCAACTCTGACACAACAGTGAGAGCAGCAGGCAGCAGACTCTTGCTGTTTAGGAGCAAGGATAACACAAAAGCAGGTAGAAGTACATAACAAACCTCTTCATTTGTGCTAAGTTAAGCAACAATAAGCCTACTTGTGCCCACAGATGGTTCAGTGCCTGTAATGTTCAGTTTGGGTTTTAATGCAGAAATACCTGAAGCTGTTCCTGGCAACATTGAATGACCTCCTGCCTGCAGCCAGCAATTTCCTTTTGATACAAAATGCACGCTACAGAGCGACTGATCGTGTTTTGAGTCTCATTAGACAGTCAGGAATGGAAGGAGGAGAGGCACTAAGTAGCTGTCTCTGCCCTGAGGAATAACTGCAGGACAACACACAGCCAGCCCTGGCATGATAAGAACCTGCACGCTCTGAGAAGGCATCAGCACAGGAAAGGTGGTGTGTGCAGCCCCTCTATGCAACATCTACCAGATGTGGCACTGCAGGAAAAACACAGGAAAGAACCAAAAGGCACCATGGATATAAGTCATACAAGTGGCACTGTCTTGCTTCTGAAAGGAAGAAATAATTTCTGTATCTCACTGCGTAATCACATCCAACTGCATAAACCCACTGCTTTGTTAAACTGAAGAGATAAATTCATGATTTCCACCTTCTCTTTGCTGACAGGCCCTTAAAAATGTTCCAGTGGAAAAGCAGATTTATATATCATAATTGTCAACCTACTTACAAGTAGCATGTTATTTTGTAGTTATTCTCCTCAATCCTTTAATAAAAATATGTTGACCTGAAGACAAAGGGTCAACAGCCACAGCTCGAGGCCATTCAGCATAGGCAGAGCTCCGCACTTGGACTGTTCCCTGTTGGTGCATTCACACATGGCCACTAAAATCACCTTCCAGTAAAAGTAGATGAGGTTTTTCAAAGCCCTTTCAACCGCTGTGAAAAGAAGGACAAGTGACAAAGCAAAGAGAGGCCACCTCGCTATAATGGTTTTTCTTTTTTTGAATGTCCCTGCCTCTTTCCGCTCCTTTCAGCAAGGTCTGTGTTGCCACACACATTGCATTGAGCACTGGTATCAACAGATTTCATCTGGTACATTGCTTGTCCTAGAAAATTAATAGTGGTAACTATTTTCTAGAAAACTGTTATAAATGTTGTAGGACTGTGGAAACTACAGTTGCTAAACAAACATTTCTGGTGAGCTTTGAGGAGTAACTTTGTAGGAGTCCCTATGTCAGATTACACTTGCCTTTCAAGAAGAAACACTTAAACACCTTTTGTCCCTCTGGTAAATTGATAGTTATGTGTTTTTTTTTTTATTCTAATAACAGAAAAACATATCACTGGCCATAAAATTTGATCCTGGATGTATTGTTATCGTAGCACGAAATGTAAAGTGTAGAGTTTACATATCAAACTCCTCTGGAGCGTGAGACCTGCAAAGCGCATCCCAAATTAATGTCCACTGCTGCTTTGAAATGACTGGAAGCATACTGCTAATGGCAGGGCAAGGAGCATTATCTGTTTACAGCAATGGTTTTGACTTCTAAAATGAATTTTGACCTATAGGCCTTTAAATATCACACACTTCAGTCTTGCCGTGGAAGGTTTCTGCTTGCTACACTCCCCGTTCACACTCGGGCTGCAACATGCCGGATGTGATCTGATTAATAAGGACAGAACTGCATGGCTGCACCGAGTCCCAGGCTGTCTCTCATGATTTATTTAGTCCTACAAAGGATATTTCCCTTGATTCATTACTTTATTGATGATATTTGCTGATTGAAAAGTTAGTACTTGCTTCCACTAATCATCAGATCAAAGCAGCCTGGTAAGATTTTTAATGTTATGTAATGCTTTTGAGGAATTTTTTTCTGATTCAAGAAAACTAACTTTCCTAATCCACCTGGGCAAACACTTGCTTTTCTGCCTCCCTCTCAATTACTCAATCGAAAAAAAAAAAAATAATAATAATAATAATAATAATGTCAAGTTTTTCTTTCTCTAATTCTGAGACTTTTAAAGATGGCAGAGGCTTCCACGGGCCTTTTCAGCTTAGTCTTACAAATAAAGCTGACAGAACTCAGCCAGCAAGAAAAATGAGCGACATTTCTCAAAGACCCAGCACATGGAAATGAAAGCAACAAGATATACATATGCCTCTTCCCACTGTAAGAGGCAGGAAACCTCTCTAGACTCACCAGCTGCAATGCTTCTTTCTCAGCTCCCAGTCAGCCCAACTTCATGGGTTGGAGTCCCAACCACCAGAGACCACATCTCCCATTAAGGCCAACAGTATAAAACAGGCTGAAATCTTAAAGTCCTATAACCTCAAGGCCACTACAGACTAAGTGCTACTTCACTTTCCAAGCAGAAAAGTGCTACTCACTACCTGGCCTGCTCCAGACCTTTCAAAGGTAGCACACCATCACCGCTGTACTTCAATTTTTCACACACCAGCTTTATGGAGGAGTAAGATCTGAGGTCAACACAGAGCAAACCACAGCCTGGCCCTACATAGGAAGTGGCAGCAGGCCACCCATCAGTAAGTGCTGCTCTCCTCAGCTAAGCCAGCTGCCCTCAATATGCCAGTTTCAGGCAGCTGGCAAAGCTTGCCCTTGCTGAGGCATGTTTTCTAGCACAAGGGGCAAAGCTAAATAGCATTGACTGGAATACATGGCAAACTTAATTACAAATCCATGCCTGTACTCCTGGGCATCTTTTTCAACAAACAATTTTTCCAAACCAGGCTTTTTTTTTTTCCTTTCCCATATTTCCTTAAATTTCAAGCACTCAATTTCCAGCAGTCACAGTTTTTTTCAAATAAAATCCCAGTAAATACAAAATAAAAAGCAACAGCAAACCCTACCTTGTTTCAGGGAAGATTCCTTAGTCCCTCTGATTCATTCCAAAGCTGTTCCTGCTCAGCATGAACCAGGCACATCAGCAGCAGGCTTTACCAGACCTCCCAAATAACTGTCCTGGAAGCCAAAGTCTGCCTCTCTTCATCCAGAGGGAAATTGCATTTCCAGAGGACCAAAGCATTGCTCCACCCAAATTTCTTCAGTAATTTTTGTCTGGATTCTAAACAAAACCAAGAGGCTTGTGTTATTTCCCCAGCCCTGACCCTCACAAAGTATTTCCCTCCTCCCCCAGCAGCTTCACACCCACCTGGGCCGCAATTTAAAAGTAGATGCAGGAGGCTGATGCCTGTTCCTGGGGCACCTGTGCCTTGTGCTAAAGGGCTGAGAATGACAAAACTGAGAAAGAACAGGAAAAGGAGTTGAAATGTAAAGTAACATAGGGAAAGAGACCATGAGGGAGGGAGAGGGAGGCTGTTTCCACTGCCCAAAGTAAGATGCCAAAGACCACAATCAGCTTTACGATTAAAAAATATTTCGTTGTTAGAAGTTAAGGGTGTTAAATAGTTGAGGATTTTTTATTATTATTATTATCATTCAAAGTGCAACATTTTATATTGAACATCAAAGAAAACTTCTGAGTTATGAAGCAGAAAAAAAAAACACACATTTATAAGTCTCAGCTCACAGCTGACTAAGTAACTAACTCCAGGCTGCAGTGCCCTGTGACACCTATCCCAAATTTAGCAGCAGCGGGGCTTGCATTACAGGCTCTAACTCTTTGATCTCATCGCTGTGGCACTGAGTATAGGAAATCAGTAACATGTATTGTGCTTACTCGTCGCTTCAGCTGCCTAATGGCAAGCTTAGAGCCAGGGTCTGGGAAACACAACCCCTCCCATAGTGTACTGCCAGGAACGATGCGAGGAAAGCCCAAAAGATTCCAGGTATACCTCAGAAATGAAAATGTCTTGTGAATAATCGCTTTGGCATTGTGGAAGAAATGATGAAGAAAATAAAGAATTTGCACCAATGTACAGAAGCAACCAATTATGAACTTAGCTTGGTAGCTTCATTATCTATCAGCCTGCTGTAACTATTCTGATAACGTAATGCATCTTCTGGATGTTTTAAGTGGCATTTATCTCACCAGGTACCAATGCGACGTGCACTGGATGTATACTTCGTATATAGCTTGGGTAGAGTTTACCAGTGAGTCTCATACAGGGGATGAACAGGGCGATAAAACATGACAATAGCTGGTAAATAATATGTAAGGAGATGTAAACCACAACGTCTTAATAACTGATTAAAATAATTGCTTATATTGGAAATGATATAGACAAAGACCCATGTTGGTCAAATAGGCCAGAAAAATGATGATCTAAAAGTCCGTGTGTGGCCTCTTTATAACCAAAAAGAAACATTTTTCTCTATCTTTCAAAAAGTTCACTTGGGCATGTTATCATACCTGTATGTTCCTGACCAGCTAAAACTCTAAAAAACACTGAAAACATTATATTTCAGTTGTCTTCCAGAGCTACCCAGATTCACCTTGATACTGAGTAATCACACGTGCTCAGTGCAGGTTTTTTTAATCACTCCCCATATGAAAGTTGACAGTAAAAAAAATTGCTTCTTTTTATGTAAGAGATTATGACTTAGAAGTGTAATAAAGGTGAAAGTGAAGTGGATTTGGAAGCGTTCACTGAACCAAAGATCACATTATATTTTCAATACTAGATGAATGCAATAGCAAATTCTAATCTCAAGTCACAGCCTTCATTTTAGTACAGCTCTGTGATGTTTTTTTCATAATGTTAAGCAGGATTTTTTTTTTTTTTAGCAGAATTACACAGCGTATATTTTTGTCATAATGCAGATTTGCTTGTTTTGTCTCTTGGTTTGAATATACGCAACACGGTACATTTGTAATGATACTGTTTATTCATATTCTATGAAAAAAAAAAAAAATAGTTAAAAAATTAAAACTCTAACATGGTAAAAAAATATATTCAAAAATAAAGCTTTTCATAACTTATAACTAAAGGAAATTGAGCAGCTGCAACATAAATGAATCTCACGTGAGTGTCCCATCTAAATTATAAAATATTCCTTTGCAAGAAATTAACTGATGAAAGAATACATCCATTTCTAATGAGGAAAATGTATTAATTCTGAAGGTGGAAAAAAATCTGAGAGTACTAATGCAGGGACGCTCTGCCCTCAAACGCTACCATTGCTGTATGTGTATATGTACTATACAACAACTCCAGATAGTATAACTTCTAAGACAAATTATATTGAATAGCTCTTCTGATCCAGTTACAGGCAACTTGCTTTCCTTTAAAATGGATTTTTTACCATTACTTTTTCCCATTATGACATCTTATAAAATATTTCCCATGATCCTGCTTTATACACGTCTAGCCATAGTTTATAAACTCTGGAAATTTAACTATCTTACTGATTCATCTTCTAGGTCCATTTGTATTAATTCCTTTAATATCTGCTGAGGTATTTTGCTGGGCATTTGACTTTAAGTAACAATTACTAATTTCCTGGATGTCCCTTTTTATTCATTCTTTCATGTTCGTAAAAAGGTTTAAAATGTATTGATTACCGTTGCCACCTGCCTCTCAGTTTTAATTAGTGATCTGCTCTCACCAATGCTCTTCCAGGAGTGCCAGCATGTCTACTAAAAGGCTTCATTTGTCCATTTGATCTGGATGCACCCCTTTATTTATGCCCTCATTGGTAATGTGTGTGATAAAGTGTGTGATACTTCGCTTGCTTAATTCTTTTTATTGTTTGAATATATGTAAGCTATAGGAATTCAGAAAGTCAGTGAGCACTGGTGAGTCACCTCGCTTTCTTCCAAATGGTTTTCAAGGTCAAAAATCATGTTTAAGCACACAGCGGAAAAACAGCTTAATACAGTGGTCACTCATAGCCTTCTGAAACCAAGCTTTAAATCCAAATGTGTAACAACCCCCTCTGAGGAGCTGGGCTAGAATTTGTCCGTGCTACAGCACAGATCCATCACCTGAGTTAAAGCAGCACTAGTAAAGAGCGGTAGCAGGCTGTTATTCTCTATTTAGACTACTCACAACAGAGAAAGGCAGTACGCTGGCTGCACTGAGAAAAAGAGTTAACTGATGTGATACAAAATTCCAGTGGAGAGGCAATCTCTGTCTCAAGCAAAGCTTACAGCTCAGCTTAATGACAACTGAGCACCTCAGATAAATGAGGAAACAATGAATGCAGAAAAACAGAAGGCATGAGGATGGAAAGCAAGGGGACAAGAAGTGCTGCTGGTAATGCAGGCATAAAGGAAAAACTGACAAAATTAAGATTTAGAAATTATACAAAAGACACTATATAGGGTGAGAGAATGAACTAAAACACTCTGGTGACAATGCATGAATACTGCACCCAGAAGCAGAGATGCAGAGCTGGTCAGCTTGCTGACAGGCTTATTTTCTTAGTGTATAGTTAAGACATTTAGAGAAAATCAACTTGTAAAGGTTTAAAAAAGAATCTTCACATTGTCCAAATTAAATGAATAGAAACAAGAAAATAGCTCTGGCAATTAAATTTCTTAATGTCTCAACGTCAAATGTGCTGGGTCCAACTGGACAAAAAATAAAATATAAGCACAGAGCACATAAAAATGGTAAAAAGGATTGATAATCAAAGCTAATGTGTTCATTAGGGGTCAGAGAGTGTAATAGAGTGAGAAACGTATATTCAAATGAAAAAGTAGATAAGATTCTTCAGCCTCATAAAAGTGTATATGGAAAGAAAAAACCCAAGGCACTATCTCTTTAGGATGAAGAACTGAAGATAGTCTAGATGTGCCCTAAAATGTCTAGATGTGTCTTCTGCTTCAGTTTTAAATACAAATGAAGATTCTGGCTATTAGACAAATATAACTAATATAAAGGACAGGAAAAAGTGGAAATGGAAGTTCTAACAGCCACTGCAAGACTAAAGTCCCACAGTGAATATGGTCAGACAAGCAGAGATGCAGAAGTGGTGTCAGGCAATCTTCAGCCCTGAAATTCTGAACCAACAGACTTGAGAAACTGCAAGTCAGTAGGAAAGATCTGTAATGGGTCTGTACAGTCAGGAAGGGTGAATATGTAGAAGAGCAAATGTAATTCTGCATGAGAATACAGAAAAAAAGAGAAATACAATAACAGCAAACATGAGCTTAGAAACGCACACAGCCTGAAGGAGGAAAAAAATAAATAAATAAATAAAAGCATAGGTAAATAGAAAATGGGATCAATTTGTTGCATTGTGATGTTTTTATTTTATTTTATTTTATTTTATTTTATTTTATTTTATTTTATTTTATTTTATTTTATTTTATTTTATTTTATTTTATTTTTTCCCAAAAAGTAGATCATAGAGGATGACGAATGTTTCATTACCTGTCTTTGATTAGGTTGCTAATTTTCCAGACAAATGAAATAGAGTCATCTATCAGGACCTCAATCAAAATGTCTTTGGATGTCGGATGGGAAAAAATAGATATGCTGGAGAAGGTGATTAGGGAAAAAGTTGTGAAGAGGGTAAGGTATGGCTTAACAGGGTATGTTCAATGTCTAGGATGAAATAACTAAAATTCTGGTGGAGGGTTGAAGATATTAATTATAACAAAACAGGAGACAGACTTCAGTCACTTATGTGACATATTCTTGAAAATTAAAATATGTTAACACCATGTATCATGGAATTTATTTCCAACAGTGATACATTAAGCATTAATGATGTTCCACATGACTACTACCATCTAAATTTGGATGATCACCCATCTTCAAGAAAAACTTGTTCCAATGGAAACAGAAGGAAAGGTTTACTAGAATTATACTGGAAATTGAGTGCTATTGTCTGAGAGACACTGCCTGGCTCACATAATTAGTAGCATTTTAGAGGAAATTTGTCCACTCTTTATCAGTTTTGGCGGACAGACCTTACTAGAGGGATGAAGAAGAACATGTTAAAAACAAGCCCCATGGCTGCAAAGAGATAAGCGTGTATAAAACTGGGTATCAAGCACAGTGAATCTGGAAACTAGAAGCTAAAAGAAGGTTTTTGAATGCCAGAGGAGTGAATTTTTGGAACCGCTTCCTAATGCAGTACGGGACTCTCCCCACTTCTGGCTGACTACTTTAAAGATGGAGCTTGAAGCATTTCCCAAAAGGACCTACGCCCACTGTCTGCAGCCAAGAGAGATGGACCAAGAGAGAGCACGGGCTGCTCTCTCCAGTCCAGAATTCCTAATATCGGAAATGGAGTGAGGAGGGTCAAGAAGAGCAAAGGCTGGAAGCTGGTGCTTTAAATTAACCTGGAGGACTTGGAAATTTAATTGGGGTTGAACAACAGATGACTTTGATGCTAACTACAGGTATTACTTTTTTGTGCTTGTAAATGACTTGATAAATGAATAAAAATCACTCTTGACTTTGTGCACAACCACTAGAAAACATGTGATAATCAGGCATTTTTCACCATCTCATAACAGCTGGGATGGTTCAGGTAGGACCTTAAGATGTTACTTTAGTTTTTCCACAACTGGATCACCAATCCACTCCTAAAGAGAGAGCGGGATTACTTCCTGCAACTCTTATTTCCCGAGTTGATCCAACTATTTGTTACTGTGCCTTAAAATTAGGCCAGAAATTTTCACTTCCCCATTCAAATGACATTTAAAGATCATGCTAACAACCAAAGCCAGGGGGTGCAAAGCTCAGCCTTACGTTCTGTTCTTAACCACCGCTACCGTGACTTTTCTGGGAAGTAATACAAATAACAATGCCACTTATCACTTACTGTGCATGGTACTTTTCATCTTCAAAGCGCTTTACAAACATTTATGGATAGTTAATCTGGAAATAGTATGATTTAGGGCCAGCTTCTGATAGCTTGTGTGACAAAGTTAATGTCATTTAAATTGAGTCTGCTCGCATTTAATAGGATAGAACTACAGCGCTTTAGTTTAACCACTATTGTTCCATTAAAAGCCAATTACAGAAATTCAGCTCTCCTTGAATTTATAGAGCGCGGCTTTTCATTTTAAGAGAGATCCATCTAAATACCTCATCCGGCTTCGGCCCTCATAACTGCGGCTAATTGCATGACGCTTCTCGCCCCGCTGCATAATGGCATTACGGCTCGCGGGGAAGCGAAACCCTCCTCGGGGGGCTCGCAGGCGCTGCTGTCGGGCAGCAGAGGGCGCTGGCGACATGTCCAAATGTCGCCGGAGCCACTTCGGGTCGCGACGGCCGGGCTGGAGCCGCGACGGATCGGCACCGCTGCTGCCTGCCCCGCTCCGCGTCCTTCTGCCCCTTCCGAGGAGGTAATTCCTGCATCGACACGTGCAGGAGGAGAGGATCGGCACCACAGAAAACACCCTTTTTGGATAAAACCTCTTAAATCCGGAGGTGTTTATTTGTTGGACAGTCAGGGTGGGAAAACAGTTTTTGGGGTTATGTTCTGGCAGGGAAGCCCTAACATAGCTTGCAATGATTATTCTATAGTAAAAGACCACTAAAATAAACATATAAAATAAACATTTTATATGAAGTATATATATTAAGTAGTGCTACAAACTACATGGATTATCATACATTGCCTCAGTGGGTACTTCTCTGAAGTCTGATGCATGTGAACCCATTTCGGACTTGTTCGGCTTAGATGTAGTCTCTTTCTCTACACCTGAGCATATTTTCTGGACCCAAATGAAGGAATGCGGTCGGTGGCTCATTCACAGCTGCGTGACGTGCCTTGACACCCAGCAGCAGGTCTAGGAAAGGACCAAACGGGACACAGCACAC